TATTATATTATATATATTATATATATATGATATATATCATTCTACAGTTCTTGTATAGATATTGAAAAAAACTTCTTGTTTTGTAGTTATTTTTCATTCCATCAAAATGTGATAAAAGAAATAAATAAACAGACTCCGGTCTGTGAACATGCACAGGCAGAAACGAGAAAGCTCGTATGGATCAATAAACGACCCTCTTTCTCATCGCCTAAACCACCTTCCTCCCCTTTTTTTTAATATCAGTTACGTCACATACGGCAATACATGCAAGCGCGCTTATCACCGCCGTTGAACTGTTTTTGATACCTTTTGTTTATTACGTATATTTAATTCATCTCCTGTAGTATTTATTTTGTCAACTTGTATTATAATATATAATTTATAATGTGTTTCAGTTCTATGCAGCAATCGCGTAAGCCAAATGACAAAAACCTACAATGATATTGAAGCAGTTACCCAACTATTAGCTGAAGTAAGTAAATTCCCTATAGTTTTTAAAACGTATTCTTGATTTTTACTGTATTTTTGTAATGTTGTATAAATGTTCAATCACATTAAAAGAGTATTTAAATATTTGTCTTATATGTTTGTTTTAACAGAAAGAAAAAGATTTAGAATTAACAGCTCGTATAGGTAAAGAACTATTGACCGGCAACCAAACACTTGAAGCCAGAATAGGATTGCTTGAAACCGAATTGAAAACTGTCAATGAGCGTTATACACAAGCATCATATGAACTACAAAAGAAAAATGACCTCATTAAAATACTCAGTAACGATGCTGACGACACTGGCTATGAAGCAAGTGAGTTTTTCAAAACCTTTCTATTATTTTTATTTTTTAACTGTTATTAAAATATTATTTCTTTCTTTTAGATGATGACGAAGTTGAAAATGAAAAGTATTATGGAGTTAGTGTTAGTTATTTGCAATCACGCCTCAGAAACCTTGAAGATGAGAACCGCAGTTTACGTGGTGAGGCCAACCGACTTGCAATGCAAACCGACGAGGTAGAAGCTAAAGAAGCACAATTGATGTCTGATTTTGCTTCTCAACTCAGTGTCACAAGATCTGACTTATCTGTCATCATGGAACAGGCAGATAAACATAGAGAAGAAAATGTGACATTACACAACAACTGCGAGTTCTTACGTTCAAAATTGAGCAGTATTGAGGCATCATTAAAAATTGTATGTAATCATATTTTTGCTTTTTGTTTCATTGTATTAAATTGTTATTTATTTTTAGAAAACTGATGAAAATGAAGAACTTATGGCAATGTTGATGTTGGCAAGGGATACACAAAATGAGTTAGCATCTGAAATAGTAGAAATAAAAAAGCAGTATGAAGAAGCTCTTACAATGCTCCATGAATGCCAGACTGAACTCAAAGGGTATAGGGATAAACATATACCCCTGGCTAGAGCTGGTCCTCTGTTTACATCTCTTCCCCCATACTTAAATTCAAATGGGATGCATAGTCATGGGCATAGTTCATTGGAAAGTTCATTATTTTCTGAACTTAGTCTGGATTCAGGAATATGTACAGGAAGAATGTAAGCATTAAAAAATTTTACAGACTTATATCAATTATTTTAATTTTATCTCTATATTTAGGTCTGGTGCAAGTAGTTATAAAAAATCTATTGGAATGATGAAATTGACTTCTGGTTTGGAATCAAGCACCAGAAATTTATCCAGACTAACAGCTTATAATGATCTTACTGAGGAATCTCTCACCCAAAGTGATTGTGAGGATTTCTCAGATACAGATTCATTTATAATGTAAATTAAAAATTTGTTTGTTATAAAACTTTTGTTTTATTTTTAATCTATTTTAAATTTTATGGTAATAGTGAACAACCAGGTATACCTGGTGCCCCTGGATCAGAAGATTTGGCTAATGCCTTGAAACGTCTAACCCCTGCATCGATTAAAGCTCGACGTGCGGCGTTAGGATCTGGTTTCATGTTTGCTGATCCTTATGACTCAGCTGATATAAGAACTCCTGATTCAATTATGTCTACTGGTAGCATAAGTTTATCTACTTGGAAAACACCAAATAAACTACAAGTAATTTTAAATTTATTTAATATTTATACATCACTCATTTTTTGATTGCATAATTTCTTATTTTAATCGTATTGGATAAATAGTTGGTTAAGCCCATGCAAGGTTCATTTACGCTACAACAGTGGAATGCACAATCTGTGCCATCCCTCAGCTCTATATTAGAAGAACAACCTCAAGGTGTAATTAAGAAAAGTGATTCTACTGCTCCCATAGCAGGTCTTCCTCAAACATTTAGACTAGATGAAATTGAAGAAGACGAACCTAGATCACATCCTGGAAAAATGTTTCAAATGTCAACTCACATCACTACTATAACTAATTCTACGGTTATGCATCCAGATGATGGTACTAATATAACAAATAGGTAATTTATAACATTTACGCTATTATTATTGCAAATAATTAGTAATATTTAAATTTTTTTATGACTCCAGTGTTAATGGTAGCACCATGTCAACCGCAGTCAATAGCCGTGTCAACAGTCGATTGCCTACCAGAGAAACAACACCTATGTTGTCTAGGAGAAATTCAACTACAACATTTTCCTCCAGTTGTGGATTAGCTGCCATGTTGAATGAAAGGGGCATAAGAGCAATTACACCATCAGCCTTAGCAACTCCAATGTTTTCTACAACAGCTACACCTTGTAATAGTCCATATGGATCGCCTAGTGGTTCTCCTGATCGTTCTCGTTCACCTTCACCATCGGATTCTCCTTATTCACATCCATTTGGATTACCTGGTAAGCACCAATTTAAATATTTTTAAATATCATATTTGAATTCTGAAATTCTTTTTTAGGATATTTAATGCACAGTGGTGCCAAATTGTTGAGAAAGACTTTAACAGGTACAGAAAGAGCTACTGAACACAAGTCTCGTAAATCAAAATCACTTGTCAGACCAGACAAAAAGGTAAAGAGGATGATTTATAATTCTCATAAATAAATAAATCATAAATCCTTTTGATGTTTTTTTTTGTTTTTTAGACATTGGCTGGTATACGACTCGTAGAGACTATGAAACATTATGTGCCAACTGTTCCACCAGAGCCTGATCGTCCTGTATTCGATATAGGAGCTTGTGTACCTCCTAAACCTGAACATGGTGCATTGCAACGACGATTAAAACAATTGGATAGTGGCAATGATAGTGGAGGTCCTAGACTTCGTATGGACTTAGGTACAGTAGGTCCTTCTACGAATGATCCTCAGCCATCGCGAGGAACACTCATCAGTTCCATGTTTTTTGCTCGTAAAGGAGGGTTACTTTAAAATAATAGTATTTATTATGAGTTCGACTTAAATGTACCATGGTGCAATGTTAGTGAATAATTTTATTTTTAACACTAGAAAACCAGAATTAATCAAATTTATTTGACTAAATTCAAACATTTTCCTTGGTTTTTTTTTTTTTTTTTTGTTCTACAAAATATTCTCTCAAAGAATATTCAAAATTTCAGAATATTAATGTATTATTATTTGAATTCTCAAGATTCATTATTTAACAAATATTCAACTATTTTTAAAATGTCTAACCTATATTTGTTTTTCACCTCAATAATTATTCAAGTATTTCGTTTATTTTTTTTTTACATAAATGATATTCTCTGAAATGTTATGTATACCGTTAATTAGTCGTACTATGCTCATACCTATAATACGCAAGTAGCGTATTTTAGATGCTTAAAGGTGCTATATAATTTAATTATATATATCGTTTTATTTTTATTTAAATAAGTCCTTTTGACACTACTGTATCGTATTGATTAAATCAATTGATGTTGTCTTTACACTAGGATTTATGTCTTACGCTTTTAGGCTATATATATATATATATATATGAAGTGTTTTTTTTCCTTCTGCCTTTAGTCCGAAATATCATTCCATGAGACCTAACGTCCTCGGTCCTTAATATAATTTTCATTTCATTATTCTTTTTTTTTTTTTTTTTTGTAAAATTAAGGTCTCCAAAAATAATAATAACTAAAATTGAAAAATATTATATGTTATTCATAAAATCGCACAACATTTTCATTAAATATTGTATGTCATTGCATTTACAATTACCTATAATCAAATAGCTAAAATCATTTCATTTTTAATTTGATCAATATAAAGTAAATAGAGTCTATTTTCATCTCAATCTATACATTATCGGTATATATTTATTTAATATTAATTATTAAATTTTTTTTTTAAATAAGTTTTAACTATTATTATTAGTGTTATGGTAATTATTAAGATTTTACCTTTTACCTATTATTCTTTTACCAAATTTTTTTTTTTTTTTTTTTTGTTTATCCGGTTTTTTCTCTATAGATCAAAAAACTATTTTTCGATCAATTCTATTTTTAGACATGATATTTATCAACAAAGAGAGCCGGATAAATATTGTTTAGTTATAAACAATTTTCCTTTTTTTGCTTTAAGTTAGTTTCAGACCAAAGTATTTCGTTTTTAAAGTTTTTTTTTTTACATAATATTCTATCTTGCTACTCACTTTCAAGTGATCGATTCTAGAATATATATTATACATACCTTCATTGTACATATGTTTTTTATTTATTCTTATCATGTTATTATTATCTTAGCGAAATAGTTGCATAACAAGTATTTGTGTTAAAGTTTCTTTTGCACAAATGGACATCCTCAATTGTGTAAGAGTAAAAACATTTTTTTTAGTATGAATGTTGTTTATTAAGCGATGGAGCCCTGAGGTTCGATAAATAAAAAAAAATTTTGATGAGACTGAGTTAGTATTCAATTAAATTTTGTGTATTTACTTTTATTTTTGTTAGAAAATGAGGTTTCCAACCAATAACATCCTCTTATTTTTTTTTTTTTTTTAGTTTGAAAATTGTTTACTTATAGTTTAAAAATTGCTAACGGTTACACGATATAATGTTAAATCAACAGTGGCGTATTTTAGCCAATACAATAATTTATTCTGTAATATGTAATTATTTTTAGCATTAGCTGAAATGAATATAAAAATATATTTGTTGACTGAAGCCAAACAATAATTATATGTATTTTATTTAAATAATTCCTTTCTAATCGTAAGTATCCTTAATATTTATTGCATTTACATGAATGAGTATCTCTAAACATAAGAAACAAATTAAGTCTAATATAACTATTGTTTGAATATTCTGATCATTTGAGCATTGGTTACAGTTACATGGTGGCTGTGACGTAGCCAAGGGCGGGGCTAAGGGGGCTGTAGCCCCCCATGGGCCGTGTTTATATGTATAGTGTATTTATGTACTAAACTAGTATACTACTATTTTTATTTAAGTATTTTAAACCTTTGGTATTAACCAAATTTTGACGATTAATGAATAACAGATGTTTGTCTTTGGCGTAGATATTACAGATTACTATTACTTCTAGTTTTTACCTTGATTATCACTATCTTTTTGATGGTTATCATGCAAGGTTGTGGCGAATCACTATCAAATATTTAATGACGTTGTCAGCATGGGAAAAAGTGTTAATATTGAAATAAAAATGTCACGAGTATATAAAAGGCAAACTCAAAGAGAAAACTTTATTTCTGAAAATCCAGAAATATATTTTAAATGTTCTACTTTTGTTCCTTTTTTTGACTATTTAATAGAATCAATGGATGCTCGTTTTAATAAAAGGCTTATTGATGTTATACCACTTGAAGGACTTATTCCGGCCAATTTAAATATGAATGACGATGAAAATATTATTATAGCTGTTAAAATATATGCCCAAGATCTCCATGATGATACCTCATCTACAATCAGAGCTGAGCTGTTCATATAGAGGCAACAATGGAGTCAAAATACTATTGCAAAACCCAATTTTGCTGTTGATTCACTCTCTCATTGCACCAATCTTCAACCTAACATTAAAATACTTTTACAATTATTCGCCATGTTACCAGTTACCTCTTCCACTCTGGAAAAAACGTTTTCTGTACCTAATCGCTTAAAAAATTATTTAAAAAGCACCATGTCGGAAAACAGACTGAATGGGTTAGCTATAGCTAATATAAATAAAAAAGAGCAATTCGATGAAAGTGAAATAATAACTGAATTTGCCAGAAATTCGCTTAAGAGGATGCAGCTGTCAGAGCGGAACAAGTGACTGAACACTGAAACCAAAATTATTATTATTATTATAAATTATATATTAATAAATACTTTTAAAACTATACTAAAATGATTGAATTACATTTAAAAACTTGGTGGTAGATGGTGGGGGGGGGGGTTAAGGGTGAATTCTTATATGCTCTCTTACCATACTTATCCAAAAAAGTGATTAGCCCCTTCCATTTAAAAATCCTGGCTACGTCACTGTTTGGTGGTTATCCTTAGTATCAATGTAAGTTATTTTTAACTGTGGTAGAGAAAGAACTATAATCTTATTTAGTGTTAAGAACCGTTGCAAACTAAAGAATCACAAAATAGGTTTTTATATATTCAAGACTGAATTCTGTTCAAAATAATTAAGATAATGATTTATATTGTGATTGTACTGTAATACAATGGTAGTATCAAGTGTAATACGACAATCAAGTTACTTGAGTTATTGCTAATAAAGATAAATTAGTTATACCTAGTGAAATTGAAATATTAATTCAAACATTTTTCTATCAGAACAAATTTATTAACAGAAAGTAACATTATTTAAAAAAGTTTAATATATAATTGTAAAATTGAGTTAGATGTTATAGCAAGATGTTGGCTACAACATAAGCTAAATAAAATAAATTAATGTCACAAAGTTCCAAATCAAATATTTCACTTCAATAACATTTCAATAAATATAGTTAATTAAACTTAGAAAGTACAATTGATAATCATTGTTGTGGTACATACAATGTCATAAAAAATTATTTGTTTAAAAATCGGAGCAAAGAAGAGACCTGTAAAGACAATAAATGGCAACTACAATTAACATTTTATATTCATCAAATAAAATGTTTAAAAACTGAACAATTATGAAATCAATCTAACAAATTTATATTTTTATAAAAGATACAAGTAAAAATCATTATACAGTTGGTGCTTGGCGATTACTCTTGGTTATGGATTTCATTTTCTTCTCTATTAATCGCATGCGATTTGCTTTTTCGACTCTATAATTTAAAACAAAATTATAAACTATTAATACATTATTAAAATGGAAAACAATTTGATTTCATTGATCTTACCTGCGTCTGATCTTTTCAATAGTTTCTTCAGATGGTTTGGGTTCTGGTTCAGCAGCTTTCCAAATAAGAGAACGTAAACGCTCCATAGCGTCAGCAAGATTAAGTTGTTGTGTTCTAGTCTTTTCTGACCGAATCACTAAATATCCATCTTTAGTCAGTTTATTTCTGTTCTATAAGCAATAATAACAATTAGTCGAAGAAATGATAAAGGTACAACTACTCGTATGTAAAACATTTTTATGTAAACTCACATTATCTATTAGCTTCTGTCTAACTTCGTCGTTGAGCCACTTGGCAGACTCCACCTTAAATCTTAAATCTACTTTGGTCTGAACTTTATTGACGTGTTGACCACCTGGTCCGCTAGAAGTGCTATATGTGATTTCTAGCTCTTCAATTGGTATGTAGCCCGAAAAATTGTTTTTGTCAACAGCTATCTAATAAAATAAAATTAATACAGAAAACAGTCATTGCGAACAAACAACACTTAAGGTAATTCGTATTCCACAGGTACCTGTTGAGGCGTGGGTGTAGTTATTTTCAGCGAACTTTTTGGATGTAAGTGCTTCAAGCTTATAGCACTATGGTAATTAGATCGAGACAATGACCGAAAGACGTTGCAATAACATTTTAATACAGTAAAACTCATTTTTTGTTTATCGGTTTTTACTACTATTTGAAAATTAAACTAAAGATTCTAAAAATTAAAAAAATTAAATTAAAATTAAAAATTTTCAACAAACGCAATAACAATTATTAAATTAATTTTGAACTACTATGGTGTCCAAAACTAAAGAATGCAGGATTAACGTTTATCTTTTCTTTTAGATTTGCTGCTGCCGCAGTTATCACGGTTATCTTCACTACAATTATTATCACACTGTAAGCATTCTGAAGTGCAGTCACTGTGACCAACGTGAAGATATTAAATTAGAAAAAAATCAGATGGCACAATTCCCATACAGGCCTTGTAAATCTTAAAAATGTTAGCAAACCTATCCTCAACACAGAATAACCTACTATTATTATAGTATTCTGTTCGTAGTAAAAATATTTTCAGACAGTAAATACATTTTGGCATCCACCTTGCCTGATGATATGCGCCTGGTTGACGAATTTTCATACCACAAGGTGGAGTTTCTTCAAGTATAATAATGACTAGTTCAATTAATTCTTTGTAATCGTCTCTAGGATGGTCTTCAGTAATTTTTTTTAAACAAAATGAAACAATTTCTTGACGAATTGGGAAAATTATTTTTTCAAAACTTTCGTGTGTATTCCAAACTAATAATTTTGTTTTATCAATTTCTTTCCATGAATTTTTAAAGCGTTTAAAAATAGGTATAATTGGTCCAGACGATACGTATAATTTCGTCTCGTTAAATACAGCCTGGATAATCAACTCCGAAGCATGATGTCTACTAGCAAAATAAATAATGTCTCTGTTCAATTTCTGCTCCAAAAGTGTAGACGCCCCATTTAGCCTGCCGATATTTGATGCAGTAGTATCAAATACAAAACATTGTACCTTATCAAGCAAAGACCATTTTTCTAAACTATCATATACGGCTGATGATATGTCACTTCCTGTTTTTGATGGGATTTCTGGAACGTCAAGAAGTTGTTCTCCTTTTGGCGTTGAGACAATTACTGGAAGACGATCAACTTTTTCTTGATTGGTTAAGCCAGGAAGTAATTTTGTATCCCAATGTACAATAACAAAATCTGAACGAACTTTTTCTGCGATTTTTTTTTCGAATACTTTCTCGGCTATTTCTAATAGATGTTCTATTAATAATAAAATTAGCCGGAATTAAGGAAAGACTTTCTATACATGCTGTTAATAAATGTACTGCGTCTCTATCACTGACCTTGCACTTATCTAAAGCTGTGAAAAGCCTTGGTGTCATGATTGATTTTTTTGCTCTTTGAACTCCAGATGAACAGGGTATATCTTCAATTTCTTCATATTCTGAATTTATACTACATTCTGTGTCCTCCTCTTCCTCGGAACTAGTGAATGCCGGTGTTTCAACTATAATATAATAATGTATAATATGATCAATGAATAGAAAGCTACAATAGGTAGTTGAATGTTTTCAGTATTAAAATTGTAATAATTACCTAGCTCAATATTTGAAAGTTCAGTTTCATACTTTTGTCGTTTTGTTGCCTCTTTATTTTTTCTAATAATTTGTCTTTTTTCTTTTTTCATATGTTGCATGTCAACTCCTAGGAAACAACCTGGACGACCTGGCATTCTTTGTGAACGTAAAAAATCTATCAATTTCGATTTTTATTATGTCAAATACATTTGCATGTGCTATGTCAAATAAGTTTTCTAATTTTTTTTCAAACTCTTTAATCTGAGATTTATATGTTTCGCTTTTCCGTTCTTTATGTTTTTCGAGATTTCATCATAATTCATACGAATATTTTAATATTTACAATAATATAATCTGATCGATCTTTTATTGGTATACGTGCTTTTTTCCAAAATATGATACATTCATCAATAACTAAATATGCGCTTTTTCGTTTGATTGACAGAGTTTACTTATTGCTAATGATGTAGACATATTGGTAGAGAAATTTAACTATGAAATAACTGAAATAATTACTAGTGCTGCTAAAGTTACTATTACTTCAAAAAGTAAATTAAAAAAAAACCAATAAAATTAAAATATGGATAACTAATGGTCTTTTTATAACAATTAAAAATAGACAAAAACTTTATAAAAAAAAACTTAAATCACCTTTTGATTTAAAACTTAAACAATATTATATCAACTATAGAAATCTTTTGAACCTATTAATTAAATAAGCTTGTTGTTTATATTATAGTGATCTAACACTTTTATCTAAAAACAATATGAAAACCACATGGAAATTAATAAATGAATTCTCATATAGTTCTAAGAAAAAAGAACTTCCAATAAACTGCCTGAACAGTAACGTTTCGAATATTCCTTTAACTAACAACTCTGATATATTGAATGAATTTAATAATTATTATATTAATGTTGGAAAAAATATTTCTGATGAAATAAATACTAGTAATTATAATAAATTAAATTGGAATGAATTAAATAAAAACATTTTTGTTATTACCTAATTTACATCTTTTACGATAACATATATAATATATATATATATTCAGTATATATTAAATATTAATTGTTGTGTATTATTTTATTTCAACTATTTTGCACGTGGCCTCGCAATTCGCGGCGCCGGTCTTGGTGGGAATGGAGTACTTGTACGGATATTCGTTATTCGTTATTCGCCACCTTCCCGTAGATGGTCGGTAAAAATGACACGAGTCAAAGAGAATTTAATTACCAAAATAGATGTTCGTAGGTATATTCCCACCACACGAAGAATATTTGCTATTCGGTTGTTTTTTTTTATCACTCTATCAGTTATCAGCCATATTGTCAATTAATTAACTATAACTACTAATTTGTTAACGGTCATATAAATAATATTCTACTTGCATTTCAACATTCAACTTGAATGTCACACGTTTTTTTATTTTACGAGGCAATCTGACGATTAACAGTATAATTTTAACCTAACTGTGTTTTGAAACTATTTTTTATTGATTCATTTTGAGTAATAAGCTTACCTCAAACATTTTTTAATGTATTTTCAAAATATTTTTGGAGAGGTAAATAACATAATTTAGTGGGATATTTGATAATAGTTTTTGTGTGAATGGCAAGATTAATGACACTGAAACACTCCAACATTAAATATAGGGTCAATACACTTACCTCGATCGAATTTTACTGTATGAAATCATCCACCATCTTCTAGTTTTACATTTATTTATTTGTTTTTTTTTATTATCCATTATACTTTTTAATTTCTTAAATTCTTCACTCACAAGTAAAAATGATCCGCATACAACTATTTTCTTCTGTTCTAGATTCATTTCATCAAAGAGTGGGTAATAAATAAAATGGACTAGAATAAACTAATATTCCAAATTTGCAAATATAAAAAATTACAATAGGTACGTTTAGCAAAATTATCGTTATCAAAATTATTGTTCATCATGAATGTTTTGTTTTCGTCAAAAGTAGTCCCTAGGTGCATGACTGTCACGAATATTTGAGCATATGACGAATACGAAACGCACCGTGGGATTGATATATTTGGCTATTCGTGTAACTTGCCGATTATTCGAGTATTTGTGGACATTCGTCAAACACACGAGTCGTGAGATCCCACCTAAAGGTGCACATACTATATAGATGTATACACATAGTTGATGAATACTGTTCTAAAACGAATGAAAAAAAAAAAAAAAGGTAGTTTTTAGTTCGCTTCACTTTATTTATTGAGCTCAGTGAGATTTAGTAGACTATAATTCATCATACACTGCAGATATACATTATATAATTATCGTTACTTTAGACGTATACATATATATATGTATATATATGTCACTTAAAATATTACCGACACGTAAATAATAAACAATAATATATACATGCACATATATTATATACACACAATCACACAAATATATATTATATTTATGTATATGTGTTTAGTAAATTTGTGTAAATGCATGTACATATTATATTGTATTATATAATATATGTATATGCTAACATAAAGAACGGAAGCACCCAAAGATAATAATAATAATAATAATAATAATAATTAATAAACTTAATAAAACCAAAGTGTTTTCATTTTTTCTTAACACTTTTTACGAAAACAAGGGTAAACATAATAATATATAAATATACGTTCTAACAGCGAATACAAACAGGTGGTAAACAAGTGAACAAGGTTATAATAATAATAATAATAAATAAATAAACAAACAAAACAATATAAAACAAAAATAAATTATGAATAAACTACAAAAACTTAAAATAATAACAACAACTTCTTCAAATAGATTCTTTTTAACCTAACAAGATTTAGAATATTCAATGGTAGTAGTTCTTTGTACATTTTAAAACAACTACAAATATTTTTTGTTAACTCTAAGGAAGTCAAATTTTTTATTTACGTTAAAATGAATATACGTACAAACGCACCTTAAACTAAATGCATATTCCATCTAATGCGGCTTTGATATTTTATTATTATTTTTTATTATCGTTAAAATGTGCAAATCACAATTTGAAAGTGCTTTTAAAAAGTATGTTAAATAAATCAAATTGTATAGGCCTATCGGTTTGTGTTTTCGCCTACGAGTTAGCGTCATAATTTGCTCAAGACTCGCCACAGTTGTATTCTTTAAATCCTTGAAATAAATTATAATTGCAATAAGTTATTATTGTTTTAATTTTTTAGTTGACGAATAACTGTGCTGATCAACTGGTTTCAGTACATGGCCCCGACCGAAGAACACGGACGCATTTTATAACAAAATAGGGTAAGTATTAAATGTTAATAATATAATACATAATAATGTATCGAGAGAATAATTGTACGAGGGTAAGACTACCAGGGCCTCGCCGTACCACCGACTGGTCAACACGTTCGTATCACTAAAAGTGTTGTAAAAAAGTATTCATATTTCGACCTATGTAAAATATGCCGATTTATATCTATTTAATTTATAATAGTATTAATCAATTGTATGATTATTTTATAATTTATATTTTTTTGTACACGCGTAAAATTATCATAGTTTTGTCGTTTATAAAAATAATTTCAAGAAATCAAAACTGAATTCCTCCTGGTGAAAAAAATGAAAATACATTGAAAAACGTAGTAATTTTAATAATAATTGCATTTTATATTTCATATAGTTTAAATTAGTATTTGATCTTGATGTAAAATTAATATACTACTCATATTATACTTTAGATTTAAAATGCATTAATTATATAAAATGAGCTATTCATTGGCGATGAAATCAATTCTGAATCGTAAGACTAAATAATTATTATTTCGAGTACTTAGTTATATAGTAGTAGATTATTATATGTACATGGAATTATTTTAGACTTAGATTTTTACAAGTTTATATTCATTTTTTGCTTCAGTATAAAATGCTACAAATTTAGTTAACTTTATATTTTTTTAAATTTTTTTTACAGTTATCAATAAGAGTAATAATAATCGTCATCGTAATAAGTAACCGCAATCTCATTAGGTTTATATATTATCTATATAAATAAGGAATTGTATAATAATTATAAGCTGTGTCAAATAAAAATCAAATGTATATTTTGTGTGCAGGGGGGATAAGTAAATATGGATTTGAGATGATAACGCACGTACTTTGTCGATCAAGGAATATGTTTAATTGTCTATTTCTCGCGAACCCATAGAACATAATGTACAAACTATGAATTTAATTTCTGCTCGCGTTAACTACGTTAAATCAAATTCGACCAAAACGACGGATCGAATATAATAATAATAAATGATCATAGAAATGTAGGGTAGGTGGTGGAACTGTTTGCGCGGTGAAAAACATGCAGATCGGTTGTCGAATCGAAAAGGACTAGTTTGAGTAAACCGGGAAACTTGCGACGATGACTAACGAACACGGAGAAAATCGATCGGTATCGTACGCGAAACTGAACGGTAGACGATAATATAATCATACCAGGTGGTACACGATAACGAATGCGACTATTGTATTGTTTTACCTATGCACTACATACAGTAATGACCGTAATTTGGTGTTCTGTTGTAGCTCAAGTGGTGCGAATATTTGGAAACACAACATAAATCCGTATTTGTTGTACGAATACACAACGTTAGTTCGTAGCGCACGTGTTAGACAGCTAATATGATAATACGTATACAATAATGAATAAAATGTATTGAACGCGGAGGTTACACATTTTTTTTTTTTTTATTGTTAAACGGTAATTTATTTTGTTGTTCCGTCACACTCGATTTCATCGCGTTTAGTTTCGTTCGGTTGATTTCGCGCGTTCCTATTAGCCAGCCAAGAGATTACGCGAAGACCCTGCAGATATAAAAATTCTTTCTAGACCTATAAAACGTAATACGACGTGATAATAATAATAATAATAATAATAATAATAATAATAATAATAACCGTACAACTACTGCACATATACATTCATATATTTTATATGTATATATGGGTTTATTGTATACCGTATATTATATATACTTTTGGGATGTATTCTTCATTGAGCTCTCACTAAACCTAGATAAAAATTTTATATTTCATGTTAGTCGTGTTCGGACAACGTCGGCGGGACGAGCCCTGCGTTGCAATCTGCAATCGCCGTGTGCTATCGGGACACCGTGCACCGCGCTATCTTGGCCGTCACGGGCGATGACGAGCCGCCGTCGTTATTTGTCCGCCTGGAGCAGCACCAGATCGTCAGCCACCACGTCGCTGATGTGCAGGTATATGATCCAGTACATGAGGTTGAAGCACACGAAGCACACCGGGAACACGATCCTCGAGTACTTGTCGATGTCGCTGGGCGTGATCCCGTACAGTTTGTTGATGTCCTTACTCGGGTGCATGACGTGCTGCGGAGGCAACGGGGTGATGTTGTCATCGTTGTCCCCCCGGCCGTTGATTGTGTTCTCCAACGAGCCGCCCTTCAGATAGTTCTTCGGATCGTGAGCCTTGAACCGTACCTCCTGGAACAAACGACAATCACTTACAAGGGGCACCGCGAGGAACAGGGACGTGTCGAAGATACCTTATGCGGGGCGCTTCACCCCTGCCGCCGGACCAGCGTTGTACCGCATTGTGGGCAGCCGGTCCTGGCGACTAGCTTTGTGCGAACGTTTTGGTTACACCCCCCCCCCCCCCCCCCCCCCCCGGTTCGTGTGATTTTTCTGACAAGAAGTGGGGCGAGGTTTGAACAGTGGTGCAACTAGGGATGGGGTTTGGTGGTTGTAACCTCCCTCCCTGAAAATTTTCTGAGATTTTTACAAATTCTACGTAGAAAAAAAATGGTTTATCTTGAACACGCGAAACGGCTTATTGATATGAAATATGAATATTATTAGTAATATAATAAATAAAAATAATAACATGACGTTTTGTAACGTTCCGATCAACTTTAAAACATCAATAATCTTGCTACTACGATTTCTCGATAGTCGATTTTATAATACTTTTTTTATGGTGTCACAATATGACATAGAAGTTTAATTTGTAATTTAAATATTTTACTCATAATACTAACTTAATCTTACTTCCTTATCCCTACCAAAGACCTGTTTATTTTTTCCAAATTCACAAATCTCCCCCGAAAACCAATCCTGGTCACGCCAGTAGGTTTGAACACCGTTTCGAGGGTTTTTTTCACTTCCCTTCCTTAACGCACGCGTACTAGTGTTTTTTTAATTCAGAGTTAATATAATTTTACAAAATTACTTATATCGTAGGAACAATTTAATATCATACGAATTCCGAAGCGATATATAATTTGTTACAAAGCTCTTAACTTTTTGAGATTCCTATTGTTCACAGGGCTTCAATTAAGTATTAAGTATCTTTATAGTGCCCTTGTTGCAATTGTTTTTTTTTTTTTTTTTTTTTTTTGAATATATATTATCATTCTCTGATATCCGTCCACTTATTTTTACAGCGTTATACTTGAAGCTTTTATCTTACTAAGCCTAGATTCGTCCGTTCTGTCAGCCAGAATTTACTTCAAAGTTCCTGCTCGGTGAACCTAGACAGTAATGCCTCTTTTCATACTCTCAGAGTATTGAGCTTCCTCAAACTTTTTCTTAAAAACTCCTATCTCTAGTATTCTTGAACTTATAATGCAGAAACCTCTTTCGTATTTTTTTAAAACATAATGTGTTATACCTATGTTTATATTTATTTATTCCGTACTGCGTACTCACTAAACTTATGAAACAAAATAAGATAGTTAGTCCAAAATAAGGCGAAAAATTTGATCTTTTATCACTTATAACATTTCATAAATTCTATACATTTACAATTTTTAATATAATAACATTTCTGATTCTATGATTACTGTCGGAAAAATATGACAGTCTAATTTTTAGAAATTTAAAATATTTTTCAGGTCGTACAATAAATTATTTCATTTCGGAAATCTACTTTTTTTATAGCGTTTTAAAATTATTCTTCAGTAGTAAACTTTACGGCCAAACAGAATACAATCATCAAAAATGTAATGTCTTTTAATTTGCAAACTTTTATTTATTACATTGCACTCTTGAGCCCAATTAAATAAATATGCACTGTACCAGTGTACATTATATAGGTCTACTATGTAACTACGTATTAATATTACATATATATATATACATGATTATGTCCATACATAGTTATTTAGTGTAATTTGGTACGGGTACACATTTATTTAATGATAATGCAATATTGTGCATGTCATTAAAATTCCTTTTTTATCACACCATCAATTCAACTTGCCGGAAAGCTTTCAAACCCCTAGCCCTTTCACGAGAAATCGTGACTTTTTTCCCCTCCAAGACGAAAATAATAGTTGTTTTAATAACGACGCTTACGGTTTGCCTGGGGGCATGGTCCATGTCTCCGGATAGAATTGAACCAGACAACGTGTTGCCGTGGCTGCCGCCGTGACTATGCCGGTGACCGTCATAACCGTGGCCCGACAATGTACCGTGTGGGGTCATACCGTGGCCGGACAGCGTGCCGTGACCAGACAGCGTGCCGTGGCCGGACAGTGTGCCGTGGCCGGACAGAGTGCCATGGCCCGGTATCGAGCTGTGACCGTGGTGATGGGAATGATGGGAATGGCTGTGGCCGTGTGCGTCGTGACCGCCTTTTTTCTGTTCGGCTATCTTCTGTATGGCCAGGAAACGATTTTTCCTCATCTGTATTCTTTTCGCCATGTATCCAACGGTAGCGTATTCTGTATACACAAACGCCATTCACATGTAATGTTTTAGATCAAGGATCAAACGATCCATGTGATCCACATGACCATATGTCAACGTTTACCAGTACAGAGGCGCACCCGCGGTCTTATTCTAAATAATTTAAATATAATCGTAAAAAAAAAATTTTTACACCAAAGTAATTTTGATGTGAATGTTATTAGTAGTAATCACGATGAGTTGTAAAATCAACATGTTTTATTTGTTAATAATATGTCTATGATGCAAATGATCCAAGACATGATCAGTCGTGTAATTAAATGCTAGGAAGTAAGAAAATTGGAAATGATATAGTCAACGATTCGAATGTGTTGCGACAATAATATGTGTGTTTTGGTGATTTCAGTTTTAGACAACCGGATCGCTGTTGTGTAATAAGCTATCTGTTATGGCGATCGTGTTCACTGAAATTGTTTGATACCTAAATTCACTTTTCTATAACTAGGTTTTCGAAATAAGCAATCATTTAAAAACTCTTTTCGGTGGCTGTTAAATCTTATTGATAAGCATTTTATCACATATTATATCATATCACATATCATCACAGCAGAAAAAATTACCCAGCGGTAAACATAATCAGATTTGACGAGTTAGCAAACAAATAGCTAATTTAGGTACTAATTCTTACAGTTCGGTTGCTGTAAGTTCTATCGCCAATACACGCCTATTATTTTATTTATGTAAAGGTCTCCGTGGTCTTAGAAAAATGTGTTATTGGGACTGACAATAAAGTGCATTATACCTTTTTTGTGTTTTAATGATTTCTATGGAATAATTTGTGTTTTTATGTCCTCACACGTGTTTTGAAGTATTTATTGTTATTTACTTGAAGTACGTTAACGATGTAATATATACACGCAGAAGGTTTACTATTAAACGTAGATGTCCATGTGTTCCAAGTTAGGACAAAAATAATAGAGGATGGTGCACACATTTTACTGGAAAAATGTCTACAGAATGACTGAGCCCTCCTTTAAATCCATTTTATCGTTCCAACTTTGGACGCGCGCCTGTACCAACGCAGGTGACCACTGTACCATAGTACCAATACTAACCCAGAAGCGATGCGAATACCATGACGAAACACGTGCCTAAGTAAACATCAATGGACTTCACGTACGATATCTTGGGTAACGCGGCGTTGGTGGAAGACATAAGCGTAGTCATGGTCAACACAGTGGTCACGCCCAAGGCGACTCTTGCAGGGGTGGCGTTCCTGTTTAACCAGAAGCTCACCCAAGATATGATGACAATCAATCCACTGGGTATGTATATTTGGATGAGATAGTAACCCATAGATCTCACGAATTGGATCTCGCACGCCAGTCTCGAATAATTACCTGGACAATAAATAATATAAATATGCGTGTGGAGTACGATTCGTCAACCCTATGGCCTTGCATTTAAAACGGTAAAAATTGACTGGTTGAGAAATTTAACAATTTACTACTTAAACTTTATAATAAGTGGTAAACATTTACTTATTGATTAGTTTCGTAACAATATTTCAGTATATAAACTCTGCTATTTATATATGATTTGAAAAATAATTAACTTTAAATTAAAATTATAAATTGGCATGCTATTTTTTAAAATATAATTATGTGGTAGTAATATGTAAATGCATGTATACTATTTGTTGTTTTTTTTATGACTAATGCTTAACCAAGTGAAGTTATTACTCAAAGTATACAATCCAAATACTCATTAAAAAATAACAGTTTTATTTTTAACTGATTTAAGTTAAACAATTTCTTCGTATTAATCATTAAAACTTGAGCAGTCGAACTTATTATTTATTTAAATATTTACTTGCAATTTTACGTTCTTATGCTCGATTGACTTATCTAGAATATGTTGATTTTTGTTCATCGATTTACTCATTTTTGGATTATTTTGCGTCTACTAAATTACGGATAGAAACGTTTCCTCTCAAACCGTTTGTTAAGTTTTGTTATTATACGCCAATGCCTTTTTAAAGAACATTTGTTTTGAAATGTATAAAATAGCATTTTCTCACGGAAAGGATAAAAATAAAAATTTAAAACGAAATTATAGAACACACTACTAAATATATAATTATAGTAGATGTTAATAACGAATGTAAATTAAAGTACATCTAATTTATAGAGTATATAATATTGTTATTATACTTGCGTCGGCGAAATTAATTTTTATCCAAAACATTACCTGTTGTAAGGCTTATTTCCATAGCTCTCTGTCGATGTCCCAGCACTTTAAACTGAGGCAGGGACACTTCGTTGGACACGCCCACCGAATTTGGTCCCTCATTCCACTTATACCGGATGTCTCTCATCGTATAACCAACTGGGGAAATCACAAACACACCCCTAATGTTTTAGTGCCGGTATTTTGGGCCTACGTACAAGACCCACCCATCACGTCGCGGCCACGCGCTCGAGTGAACTATTTAATAATTTTTATACCATTGCATTTTATACGCGCTATCGTTTTTGTGTACTTTTCCCGCGTCTATAATGTTACATATCGAGTAAACAATACGTTCTCCATTAATGATCTACGTGTTACGTTTATCAATAAATCGCATCATATCATATGTTATACGTGTGATGGTTAGGTCGAGTCAATGATCTACCTGTAGACAAATTAATTTCGGTGGCCTTCTGTCTGTACCCGAGAACGCGGAAGTGCGGCAACTGCACCTGGTTGCTAATCCCGACCGATTTAACACCACTTTTCCACTTGTACCGGATATCGCGCATCGTGTAACCGACTGTGAAAACGTGACAAAAATCATCAGTACAGGATATCGTTGTCATCACGCGTCACTCAATAGTCGTCTCAAGGAAAATGTGGACGTGACGCGCGAAATTTTTGTTTGTCGCTGCAAGTCGTATATGCGAAAGCGTCGATTCAGCAGTACAGGGCCTAAAATTTTCAATTTTTCGTACTACACGGTTGTATTTATGACCTGGTACGTATTTTCACGTTAAAGGTGAACATTTTGCAAAGTTGTTTAAACTTATCATAGAAAATTATGTAAATTTGTCAGCAGTTTCTATAAACCGAATCTACAGCATTTGTTTGTGTAATTGTTTTGTGACTCTGATGAATATGATTTTATTATAGATTTTCAAATAATTTTCTAGTGTCCGTTTAACATTTTGTATTACTCAAAATGTGTTATAGTACACACAATTTTAGGCCCTGGTTCTGTGTGCGTGGTGTGAGTCGTTTAAGAATAATATTTTCTCGGTTTTGTGTGTGTAGCAAATTTTTCACGTTTATAAGTATACTTAGCAGGTGCTGCGTGTTCGGGATAGGAGATGTACCAATCGTCGAAGAAAATATCAATACGATTCCGACGATATCCGAATTCCTCGCACAGGTTGTTGCCGGTTTAAGCCATACATACGAATATATGTATATTATATATCATTATAATACATAAACGTTTATAATATAATAGCCGTGGTGGTGCATTGTGCCTGGTCCTTCTCCTCGGGCACGCGACTTAGTGCTGTTCGTGCGGCAGAAGGACACCGAAATTAACAAGAAAAAAACTAATATGCATAGATTTATTTTTATTTTTCAACGTTTTATCGTCGAATTTCTTGTACATCTTTACATGTATAATTATATTGATTTTTTAACGTTATCGTTATGGGCATACTTACAGCTTTCGATTTCGATGTGACATAGTTGACGGTCCATCGGGAAGTACTGCAGATTCATGGGGCACGACGCAGTTATTGTCAAGCTACAACATCGGAAATTCGTACAACGTTATTAGCACCACGGCAGTGAGGGCGGTCAATATACTGACGATTCGCGCTTATCGGATACTATGTACACATATTATGTTATACACATACACACACACACACACACACACACACACATATATATACGGGCGATATGGAATACCAGCAAATAAGTACATTGACCGAAAATTTGAACAGCCAACTAAGTACGAATGAAGTATTTTAAGTATACAAATAGAATTAGAATTTCTTATAAATATTGTTTTCCCTTGTGACCATAAAAATATTAGCTATGCTGATAAAAGTAATCAACAATATTTGAATAATAATTTATATTATCGGTTAACCAGTCGAGTTTTAAGAAAGTGCAAAAAAAAAGCAGGCAGATTTTGTAATTCTAAAATACAATTATAACTAATAACTTATATTTTGTTTAAAATATTCATAAAATGATAACATTTTTTATAATTTTCATTATTTTAACATATTCAGAATATAATAAATATGTTATAACTACTACTAATAAAATTTTAATCAATTATTAGTAATAATAAATTTATTCGAAAAATGTACATAAAACTGTTCTTATTTGTTTGTATTGGTGGTTCAAATTGCTAGAATTGGTTAGGACCAAAATTGTACGGACAATATACACATAAAAAATTCTCTCCGTATAACCGTAACATATGTATACGTGTGCATGTATGTATGTATGCGCATGTGCGTTTGCTGTGACTTATCATCATACCGAATACTCCGCGTTATGCTCCCGGAATGGTGTATCCTTATAAATTCGTTGCTGGTTGTCGCTATGTGGAAATACGATTGTTTCTCGTTGACAAAGAACGTGTCGGGTACCCAGATGTTTTTGATGAACTCCGATCCGACAGATAGCGTTTCCACACCAGGTCGCTTCTTGAACGCCAACCGGGGATCAGTCCAGAACTGCCTGAAGTAGAAATCTAACGTGAAGTCCTATAATACAATCGAGAGGAACAAGCAATTAGTTCACAGCAGTAATCGATTGTCAATCATTTTTGAGTATTTCAAACCATTCAGAAATGTTCACGATTATAGTACATTCTTTTTTTATCGTTAAGCTTTCTGAACTAATCTGAACTAATCCGAATTGAGATTTAAAAATAATACTTTAATATCCAAATGGTTTCAAATACTCAACGTACCTCGAATCGTGATAATAATCTACTATAAAGTCTAATGAAAAATAAAATTTAAATAAAAACGTTTTAATTTTTAACGAAAATATTGATTTACTCGAAGTGCATGTGTATATGCATGTAAAATATGAATTTTTAATGTTATTAAAGACTATTATTATTCATAAAGTACTATAAACATAAATAAAAATGAGTACATGCAGCAAGCCTAAATCTAAAATTGCACGCTAAGGGTAGCGTAGGTATAGGAAAGAGCTTTTTATTTTCAACAAAGTACAGTGATATTCAAATATTGCGTGTTGTGCAATCTATCTAACATGCACTGAACATGCAATTTTAATTTACCGCGCACCATTTGTCGGCTAGCACGGAACATCCATACAATGTAAATTAAATCGTGTGAAAATGTTTAATAAGTATAGGACAGGGAATATTATAACGGTGTTATTAGCTATAATTATCTACGTTTTATAATTTTAAAATTAGTTCCGTAACTAGGAGAATTTGTTGTTCTAATTTCATATTTACGCTAATTTTACAATTCTTATTCGTAAATTTATTTAAAAATGTGTAACGATTATAAAATATATGAATCGGGATTTTAAATTAAAAATAAATATATTTTCATTTGTGCTCGATTAAACTTATTTTAATTTGAATAATTATTTGAAAATTATTTTTATTCATACAATGCAAAATATGGTCAAATTTTAAGTGTTTAAGATTTTATTTTCAAAATCACAAATTTTTTTTAGGTAAATTGTGTTAATTTTTAACATTTAATAGTCAAGATAAGACTGTATTAATAATATTCATTTTTAGTTTTTATAATTAACTGGTATACAAAACGTTATCTTTTTTTATAAAACAAGTCATCAAGCGACAACATTTTTATATGAAAACATTTGTTTAGGTTATTTAGGTGAATTAACAATTGAAGGAAGATTGATTTATTATCTTATTGATTTCATATGTTGAAGACTTGATATAAAAGTGAGTTCAAAAAATATATAATTTAAAGATCTTGAAGGAATAAACTGACATTTAATAGGGATCTTTTATTTGTATACAATAAATTTAAGAATTATGACCGGATTGTATAAGATACCGAACAGGTATTTTTACTCCTCGTTTTAAGGAAAAAGTTGTGTGGTTATATTTTATGTATTGAGTGTACGTCGGATTGATATATCGTTTAAATGATTATTTTTTAAGTATGAGTTTGAAAGTAATTGTCCTAAGATGTGTAAATTACTCCACCATCGGAGTTATCGAGTAATCCGATTATTGGTTGATATATTGAGTGAAATTTAATTGAATTAAAGTATCATGGTGGTAAGAAGAGGGGTGCCAAGTGGGATATTTTAGAATTTACTTTGGTTTTAAAACGACGGAATTCAATTAATTTTTAATAGGATTAGAAAAAGTTAAATTGCGTAGCGACAAGAAAGAATTTTTATTTTGCAAAGAAAAATTACATTATTTTGTTATTTGGGATTCTTCCATGGAGATAGTATAGATTTTATTTTATTTTTTATTTCACGAGTTCTTTTATTAATCATATTTTGTGTAAATTTGTAGTTAAATTTTTACTGCGGAAGTTGAATTTTAACTTGATAGATAATTAGCTTGTTAATTAATCACGTTTTAGAATGGACTTTTAATCTTTAAAGGGCCAAGAAACTTATTAAATAATGTAATAAAGATATATTTATATTAAATGGTTTTATTGGTTTCTTGACTACAATTATTGTTATTTTAGTGAGTGATTTGGCTGTATCTAAAGTTCCAGAATTATTTTTCAAAGTTCAGGTGTTTTAAATGCTTTCATTAATTAATTCCGTAGGTGGTATTTGTGTTTACTATAATAAAAATCGATTAATTATTTTTGTTTGTTTTGTGAATAAATTAATAAGATGTTTTTTGAAATACATTTAACATTTTGTAGGATTGGAAGATTTGATAGTCTCACGTCTTTTAATAGATTGTGATCATAGACATTATTTAAAACACTTTTATGTGAGTTATTCTGATTGCTGGCAGCTGACGTAATTATTTCAATTTATTTTATCTCAATTTGAAAATGGAATAAGTATAGAAAAATCCACAAGTGTGTTAAGTAGGCGGAAAAATAAATAAAACTTTTCCATTGTCAAATTTTGACTTTTTACTCCTAATAAGACTACCAATAAAATATTGTATAAACAATCGCACATGCTGTACTAGTTTATAAATACATAATTCATGATTAAATAATGGTTATGGTCATAATTTTATAATAATAGTAATAATAGTAATATTAAAAAAATGAAAATAAAACTAACCTATTTTTACTATTAATATTATTATTTTCTTTCTAACTAGAGTGGATTTTTAATACCGGTCATTGCCGATGCTATTTCCAGTTAACACACTAAGAATTATGAACAGTAACTGTACTTACAGGAAACAGAAAGTTACATATTATTGAGTATATTATAAAATATATATTACAAGTGGTTTATTTTAATGGAAACGTAACGCGGTAGCTATTTTATATATTATATATATTTATAGAGAAACCAATCGTCGAAATTAGAAGAATGAATATTGTATATCTGTCTATAGTAATATTTTTATTATTCGAATCCATTGTTAACTAAATGTTAACTGTAGCAGGTGAATAATATATGTTTGAAATCTATTACGATGTTGTGGATAAAATTCAAACTTGGAACTCCTAATATTCCCATTGTGACCTTTGCGAAAGAGAAAAACAAGAAAACACGATGCAAAGTTTGGAAGGTTTTACGGGGGGGGGGGGGGGGGGAAGAAATAAAAATGGTTTGACCTTTTCTCTTGTTCGCAATACATTTTGCGGTTATTCGGTTCGTTCCCATTAAAGCATCGCGGCGTATACGACCAAAGGTCATTGCATATAAACTTTATTTAAAATGTACACGCGGCCACAGCGTACATCTGTTTCAGGGCTAGTCAGTTATGGGTTTGGGAAAACATGAACAAGACACTTGCTCATGGTCGGAATTTCCTGACGAGTATATTACGTGTTTATGTGTTGAGAAAATCGGGCGAGTAACAGTGAAATAATAGACGTTGTACACCGCTTAAGCGGACACAAGTCTAGCCGAGCAAAACATGCAAAACGTCTTCGCCCGACACATCCGACCGACTTTGTTTTGGTTTTATTTCGCAGCTTTTGGTGTGACTGCGGACCACACTTGGCCACACGCGAACAGCAATATCCACACGTCAATTATCTATTATATATATATATATATATTATAGAGTATAGTATGCGATTAATCCGAGTCATAAATCATACATTTATTGGAGGGGAGGGGATCGAAACTTATTGTTTCAAATTATTAATCTTTATGGACGTTGGTTGAACTTTGAATAACAGTAGTATACCTAATATTGTGTACGTTGGATTCAAGAGGACGCGGTAAACATCAAATCAATATACAAAAAAAAAAAAAAAAACAACATCGAAACACCAAAAACAATATGTATTATTACTTCACTACTTCACAAAGTAATATTGCACACATTTCACTCTTTTAAACGGCCTGCTGTATAGCTGAGTAGTTTCCGTTCATTTCAAATGTATTATGTTTAAAGGAATATTCGAAATTCGACGTGTACTTTCGATAGTTGTGAAATCTATAGAATGCCGACAAAGTCCTCCGGTTGCGCGGATAATATGGGAAGAAATTACAAAAACGAAACGGTCGAAACATTAAAACATTATTTACAGTCAAGTCGCGATAACTCAGTCTGGGACTACTTGCTGTTGCAGGCGTACCATATACTCTAGCGTTAATTAATCGAGGTGACTTAGATTATTCTTTTTAAATTCTCGTCCCTTTCAGATTCGAGTCATCGAGTATATAACCAATGACCACATAAGTTACGGACGGATAATTGCACGAATAACTGTGAGAACCTCAAAGAATGATGTGATAAAATAAATAAATACGTTTCGCGTTTATATCAATAGTAACGGAAAAGTGATATACATGTTTCAAAACAATTTTGCAATCACCGGTCTAGGACTTTGTACAACGAATTATGCTATTATCATAAGTTCAATAAGTTACTGCGAACGGGGTTGAACCGATTCGAGCGCGTTTTCAATCATTTATCGGTGAGAAGTTTACCGCTCGTCAATGTAATACTATTACAGTACAGCTCCGAATTTCGAATCACCTTTGGTCAAAAACAAAACATTTAGGCAGGGTCACACGTCATAATATTGTACGGTTGGGGTCGACTTAAAACGCATACGAACGCTGGACCAACCAGGGACTCCTTAACACAAACACGTCCAAAAACGCATAGTATAACATTGTAGTTTTGGTGCACTGCAGTTAGTTCGTACATATATACCATAAATATATAATATACATAGGCGTTCGCACAGGTGCAGCACATGCAACCTAGGCTGTTCCTGCTCTTTCCGAGACGTCACATATTTTTAAGGGCGTATTATGTACATTTTTAAATTTATTGACGGACGGTAAAGTTTTTTTTTAAATTTTTCTGCGTGTTCGCGATACAATTAAAAGATTAATGGAATATCAATTTGATACGATTATATGTTTAACATTTTTTCGTACTGATAAATATACAATGTATCTATTGGCAAACAATTTGCTGAAAGTGTTTCTTAGTGCTGCTGTACCTGATTCGGAATTCTACGTACGCCTATATATATATATATATATATATTTGTATATATCTATCCATGTAGTTGTACGTATTATACTTCAAACCGTTCGCGCATACCTATAACCACGTCAACGATTTGAATGTAATATATTTCTAAAATGTAGCGGTTGTCGCGTTCAACACTGACGGATGACGCGTTTTTTTGATTTCATTTAGAAACACGCGGATTATACGCGGTGAACGGAACAGTACACTAAGTGTTATATTGTAGGACTAGATGGAGGTTGTATACCGCAGTGGTGGATTTTAAGGAATCATAGGGTTAATTCCTCCCCCCTTCCGGAAATATCTTAATATTTATTATGTTAAATACTTTAACTAATGTAATTATGTATAATTTTTATAATATGTTTATGTACATTTGTGTATGCACGTCATATGAATTTCTTTTATGTTAACTAACTTTATAATAGCTTAAGCAAGTATAAATGTCTATCAAAAAATATTGCCCCAGGTAAAAATCTAAAGTTATCCCTAGTATACCATGTATACAACGCTCGTTCGTCGTGCACATCCGGGGCACTATCGGAGAGTCACGTGAATATTTTATAACGTAGTAGTGCGCTAGCGTTACTTGTTTGAAATTTAAAATGTATTTGTATTAATAATGGCGTGTCGAATAGTAAATGTGTGTTGTTGGCAGTATATATATATTATATACGTGTATAAATGAATTTACGAAGTTTGTACTCGAAAAGCCGACACTCTTCCTCGGAACAGTAGTGGTGTGCAAAGAGTGAATATTTGTTATAATAGGCCATGGACATTGTTTGTCTCTTCCTCCCTTTGCCACCGGGGAGGGGGAGGTAATACGTTACAGTTATACGGCCAGGAAATATATCAAAACGATAATATTTTAGTGATAGTATCGCAAGATTTGTGTTTATGATATGCAAAACGTTGTTGTCATGTTAGGGAGTGACACCGGTTGGCAAAGCAACGGACTTGCATGCAGGGAACGTCATTTAGTTCCTTTTCGAAATTCATCGTTTATTATTTTTGTGGTTTGGTTGTCCTTTTTTTATATATATATTTTTTTTAAAATATATATGTTTTTTTATCAATGTAAGAGTTATATTATAGACAATAAAAATAAAAATAAATCATATTCATTTAGATTCTCAAACGAAGAAGCAAAAAAGCATCAGTACCAGTAATAATGGACGAATTCGGTAAAACATAATATTATATATATATATATGTATATATATATATATATATATATATATAATATTTATAGCTTAATAAATAAAAAAAAAAAAAAAAACGAAAAGACATCAAGGTAGAAACACTCTTCAAAACATTGTATTATTATATAGAATATATATGTATATATATATTATTGTCAAAATGAAATATATTTAAAATTAATAATAATTATCGTTCATATATGTGTTTGTACCATTAGTACTTCGGACACGGAGCTTATACTGAGAACATACATGGTGACTCCGACCTCTACTGGGGGCCCTGCAATGATATGTTAAAACGTCAATGCTGATTACGTATGTAAGTATTTCAAAGTGTTTTTTTATTGATAAACAGAATTTTTAAACATTCGATTACAACACTCTCGATCGAGCACACTGCGTCATACTGCGGAACGCTCATGAACAATTTTTCTTAATTAAAAATAAATACAAATATTCATATGAAATATAAATATATGCGTACCTATTATATATAAACCAATATTATACCACTATAAAAGATAATATAAAATGTCATTATTATATGGTTCACTCGTACAATAATCAAATAACCGCGAGGAATCAATATATCATCTTAATAGTTGTGTGTTTCATAAAATCAATAATTATGCAATTGTCATTTGTTATAAATGGATGATTTAGTATCGCACTATTGCTCTATTATGTGAATAACGGTGAATTTACATTTTTAGTTGTTCGAATCGAACAAAAGAAAAAGTTGAATTTAAAGTAGTTACCCACGGATAATAATTAGTATAGAGCATTCTTTTATTACAAAACATAAAATATATCATAATTAATTAGTTCCGTTTGGTTTACTGTATTGTACAAAAACTAAATTCAATACACACAAATGTAATTTTTTCTTTTTTTTTCCAATCACTATTATTAACGTTATTATAATTACAATAAACATTTATAAATAGAACTTCGTTATACACACACAAGTGCACGTTGAATCTCAGAAAATAACTCGTCAATGTTTTATTAGCCACACCGTAATCATTTTAAACAGGAAATTAACTACTGTAGATCTACTATTGTATTATGATTCCAAAATATAAATAAAATAAAAATATAAATTTTTAAACTGGAAACTATTACACAAAATGGTTTATTAATGTAATTTTTTAACATAATGTAGATTTAAACTGATGTATAATATTCTGTTTATTATTTAAAGGGTATATTTTCTACATGCATTTATTTACCACGCATGGTTACGATTATTTTAGTGAATTGTGCACGGATTTAACAGTTATTCAAAATTCGACAGATCTCAAATCAATCATTACCGTGGTCAATGTGATATGTACGATAAACACTTGATTCGAAAACGGTATACGACAAATCCTATCCCATTAAAAGTATATTTTGTATTGTGCTCGATAAATAAAAAATAAAGCTCAAAATGTAGTGTATACGAATTCGGTAAAAGCTGTTATCGCAATGAAATCGAACTTAAAAACACGCTGCCGACACTGTTCTTTCAATCATCACTGCAAATATATGATGTTAATTTATGTTATATACAGTTTGATTAACGGAAACATGCAAATGGCAGTATATAACATCTAAATATACATGATGTATTAATATATGTGTATATTATATGTACCTGTGCAGTACACAGGATACCATTGGATATATTAAATCGATTCTCATAGGAAGGTATACGTGGTAATAATTTTTGTTATTTAATAAACGCCGCACGTTCAGTCCGGAGGGTTGTTATGTAGATAAAATTACCTTGACGTCCGTAGTCATCGCGGCCAACGATCGAACGATCAGCGCACATCATCTACCCGTACATGCGAGCCGATGACTACGGGGAATTTTAATAATGCGCTGAGCGTTGGGAGTAAGCGTCGGGTTAAGGGAGGGACCTGTCAGTCCAGATCAACACGTAACCATTTTTTTTCATAGCTATGTTAAATTATCTTTTTAAAATAAAGCAAGATTATAGCTATCGAAACAAACTAATTTTTCTATTTCAAACAAGTGAAATGTTTTAGTTTTTGTATATAATGTATGATCAAATGTACGTACTGTGGTGTTACACTGAAGTGGTATTTAGTATTTTATTTCGGCCAAACGAGCGTAAGTAAAGAAGCGGACCGGAATCGTTCTATTCCGTAGGCCACAGAAGCTCTTGCCGATCCTGATAATGCGAAAATGGTCCATGAACGACTACTGCTAATATTATTAATATCCTACCACTGCCACTTTTATGTATAAAATTCCTATACATAAAATAGTGCGACTACGTGAAAGGGTCCATTCGGTTCAGTGCGATCGAAATAATATACATATTTGATTGAGTGTTGGCTCGGAAAATTAATTCAGGACGAGTTGTGCATTGAGAATTTTTCTTTGAAGAGGGTTGTAAATAGTCACGTGACATATGTATTTTCACGTTCAATTCATACATACACATGCACACATGTGATAATAAGTAGGTCATGTTTTTCTAATTCTGTCACGATGGTACTCCCACATCGCGTTATACACGTACACATCCACGTATTTATATTCCAAGAGCCATTTCGTTTCGATGTACAAATCTTATAGTACTGTTGTAATAGTGTGTGTGTGTGTGTGTGTGTGTGTGTATGTGTGTGTGTGTGTGTGTGTGTGTGTATTTAGTAAGTATAATAAAAGAACAGGGTTAAAAATCGTTTGTGGCGTATAAATTATGTTCTATGATGTTTCCTGGGTCATCATGTTATAATATTATTCACATTTACCGCATCGCTCTCAGTACAGCAGTACCAGCGGTTGTAAGAGAGGCATTGTCGCTGTTGCAAGTACAACTGTTAAACTCTTCCTAATCACTCAATAGAGATGTAAAATTCGAATGTTGTTCAATGTTTTCTCGTGGAACGGAGTAATTATATAACATATACATCCGAAAACGTGGTACCAATTTACAAACATTTTTGTGTCGGTTTGATGGTACATACCTTTCGAATTTAAGTTTCAAGAATTATCAATAAGGTGGTTTGTATTTGTTCACATATATTTGGAGTTTCAAACGTAACCGAACATCAGGAATTTAGTTCAATCAATTTTTATACTAATATACCTACTATTATTATATTTGCCTTGAACCAATACAAAATACTACTCGCTGTTCGTATACGAAAGAAACATGTACGAAGACATTGATTAATAATATGGTCGTTGCAGGTTTATTGTATTTGTCACATATTATTTTATTGCACTTCAGCTACACAATTTGAAAACATTTAGAAGTTATACTTTTATTGCGCGTGTTATAAGTTTATAATATGATGGAAACCAAAACGTGATGATTTCAGTTGTAGTCACGAGACTATAAATCAACTATATATCAACTCTTATTGACTCGAAGGAGATAGATAGTGGTCTATAACAGGTCAATATATTATAGAGTCGTTATGGAAATTTATGGGATTCAAACAAATAGAGTTGCATGCGTGTGGTTTAAAGTGCAGGGGTATGGTGGTCGTCTCGATATTAAAATGTGTTCTTTTAGCTGTACGTTTTGACAAAATAAAGGTATTATGAATGATGGGGATGGATACGTGTTGAGTCCTAGTACGATAGTACATAGTGGTTGAAAACTATTTCAATAGCACTATCAGTGTTTCATTTGATTCCACACAATAAGATCAGAATGATTAAAAAATAAAAAATAAAAATTTTAGACGAATGACTAACATAAAGCTACCACGTTAAAACTGATTTAAAAATCCTAATTTATTCGTGAAGTCGTTCTTGCAGCGTTCGCTTTTTAACTGATTACGATCGCATTAATATACTTATAGTGTTTAAATATAGCATAATCCACAAACCGTATTAAATACGTAGATTCGAGAAATTTAAATATGGTATTAATAGATACAAGGGGAAAAAAGGAAAAAAAACGATTTCGGCTTAATAATTCATAAAAAAGATTCCTTGAAGTAGTGGAATTAAATCAGTGTATTAACACTTACACAGTGGTAGATTAAAAAGGAAGTGGAGGCTGAAATTGCATGTTTTTTTCTTTTTCTTATCATATATTTGTATATTTTTTTATACTTGCTCATATGAACCAAATAAAAGCAAATTGTAACGCATTTCCAGGAACTAAAAGAAAAATGCACAATAAACCGAGATCGCATATTAAACGTATATAAAAAAAGTAAATTCAAAGTGTATACGCGAATTATTTTCAAAAATATATTCGAAATAGTAAATTTAACTATACATTTTTTTTATTATGTATTTGTGTACATGATAATTGTTTTTATTTAAGTATTAATTTTCGTGTTTAATTTCAGAGATTTAGAACTTTATAATTTAAACTTTAAACTTATGTTACAACTTTTCATAGATTATATTGATACTAATATATATATTATCATAAAAATTTTGCAGTTCGACATCGATTGGGAAATATTAATATTATTAATATCTTCTACACCGTTTACTTCAAACGTCCAAGTGTTTATACGGACAATTTTTAAAGATTTATGAAAATTCTTAACCCACATAGAAAGCGCGTAGTAAACGGGATCGTAACGGTTTCGCTGTATGTACATATACGTATACCTATATCATACTGACCTAACTATTTGCTTCTTTTATACGTTCCATTCCTCCTCGGTACCCTCGTTGCCACCACCATCACCACCAGCACCACCACTAGTACCCCCGAATTAGATTAAAATTATGAATGTCCCTTGATAACGTATTCAAAGAGCGTAAGGTTTTACATTTTGTATGTTGGATTTGCACGCGTGTTCACACCGGCGATAGTGGCAGCGGCGGTACACTAGACACACTGACGCGCGGGACCCCATGAATACCAAACACGATACACATTCAATAATGCAAAACCATTATGGTTTGTTGTTGCAGTGCGCGTACACGTACGGTACACATCTATACCCTTACCGTACACGGTATATTGACCTACCACGCAATGTACACGCGTAATATATGTACGTGTATACCAGTGTACACCGAGTCTCCCATGGAAATGTAAATTAACCTGACGTTTTCGGTTACGAACACCTACGTATACGTACGTGTACGAATATATCTACGTGCACGGTAAAAATCGTTTGCAACTACATGGTATGTACTGACAAGTCGGATTTAATGGCCCGCACTGGCAAACTTCTAGCCGCGTATGATATGCTAATTTACGTAGGCTGCAATTTATTTCACGTCGTGCTACGATGACCGCACGGTACCAACGAAGTCGGTTTTCGTTGGAACGAGAAAAAA